CACAACTGATGTAAGACTAATAGGCCTATAATTACTGGGACATTTTTTATCACCTCCTTTGAAAAGAAGAGTAACATTAGCCAAATTCCATTCCTCTGGCATCTGTTCACTTTTCAAGGACTTACAAAAAAAAAATAGTAGCAAGTGGCATACTTATCCAATCCTTAACATCCTTCTAAACCCTTGTGGTAATATTACCTGGTGCAGGAGCCTAATCATTCTTTAAACTTCAATTTTTTCTTATAAAACTCAGAATTACTGTGATAATTTTGTTTGATCTTGTTTTCATCTATCAACTAATTTAAAGAATGGGTTAAATAATCTCTATGTTTATAAAAATATTTTTATTTTAAGAGGATGATGTTTCAAGCTAGCCTATGCAGTTAACTGTAAGTTTAATCTATCAACTGTTCAAGATGAGGAATACTACTTAAAATCTTTATTAGTAAAAACTGAATTTAATAACCCAGCCATCTCATAATCATCAGGTACAAGCCTTCCTTTATTATCCTTCAAATGCTCTACCCCCATCCTAAATTTTGTTTTACCCTTAATGTATTTATAGAAATTCTTACTGTTAACTCTTTAGGCATGGGCTCGGTCCCTGGGACCAACCTCATAATCACTTTTTACTTGTTATAGTTTTCATGCTATAACTTTTAAATTAGTAAGCATATGTTAAGGAAAATTGGCAGATTATCAGTAAGCATTACAATGCTTTCATATGCAAAATATCAATTTTTTTTATTAAGTCTTAAGGTTTGTTAAGCAATGTTTTTCTCATGTCTTTTTTATTATTTTCACATATTGCCTATCCAATATGCAAAGTATTATTCATTCTAAGATTAAAAATACTTTTATGCATCAGAAAATTTTGAAATTTTACATGGAAAATCTTTATAATGTCCAGATAGTTATCAAATATTTCCTGAAAAAAAAACTTCATATCTTATCTGTTATTTTCACTAACGAATCTCTGTATGCGTTCGGCAGATTTGACCGATCTTGTAACCACCATAAAAAATTAGGAAATAAATACAAATTATGCCTCTTTCCTTCTAGAATGACAACAAATTATAACACAAAAACGTAAGTGTTTAGACTATATAGCTTAAATCTCATAATATTATACATTTATATATATTTATTATATTGACCTTTCAGCCATACATGGCTAATAATACAGAAGTTACAAGGATGTGGCACACATGCTCTCATGTTATTGTATCCAGTAATAAAAAAGGGACCTTTAGTCTTTACAAAGTGACCTTTCTTGGCTGTGTTTTAGTAGACTAGTATTTTGTAAAATACAGTCATATTTCTATTATTATAATACTGTACTATTGTACTTAGTTGTTGCTTCACATAGGTTGCTAAGCCTTTAAAAAATTCGCACATGGAGGATATGAAACGAAATAATTTTTTAGGTTTTTATATAAACAATTGAATAACTAAAAAATCATAAATTACTATATCAGTACCATAGACTTTTACTATAATTTATCAAGCTTAGTAATGAAGCTGTATTTTTGTCTAAGAATGTATGAAATTTCGAGCAGACTAAAGACACGCCCTACCTCGTTGAAATATTGGTTCAAAAGAATGAGATGGCACCCTAACACACAAAAATGGCTGAGCAAGCCACTAGTGGGACATTCTGAGCTTTCAATTGGTTATTCACATGTCATATTTTGAAGTAAGTGTATATAAAGGACGATTTCCAAAAATGGAAAGAGGTGAGCGGGGCCACTATGTTTGATTCAGTACGAGAGATATCTCAGCAAATAGAAAAGATACAAGGTTCTTATTTTATATTCTAGCTTGTCAATATTGGTAATTTGAGTTCCTAATTCGTAGGAAACCATAGACTTAGTATTTTGACTTCACAAACACCTAATTTGAAACTGTGCTGCACTCAACCTACCACGTCACACACAAATATCGATGTTTATCTGTGCTTTTTAATATTTACTTTTAAATTTACAAATTGAATAATGTATAGTACCAAAATTTGAATT